GGGGGGGTTGTGTTCCCACTCGAAGTATGTTCACAGCTCTGCTTGAGTCTATCTACCATAAATCAAAAAAATACAGCAATTTCAATAATATGAGAATTATTCCTGAATACAAACTGCGGTCTAGTTCACTGACAGCACTGTGCCGCAGGACAGAAGACGGTGCAGTCAGAGTATTTGACAGCTTAAAATAGAGTGATTTTCTCAAATGCCTCAGTGATTACACATTTATTGTTCATAATCTTGTCGAGCAATGCCCTTTGCACATGCAGATCAACTGAATATGTTGTGGCTGCTGGAAGACTTGCTGAATAAAGGCTGATTAGAGGCTGAATAGAGGCTGATTTCCACCCTGTGGTACACAGAACTTCTCAGTTTGAGACCTTGAGAACTCATCACAGCCAAGGCAAGTTTCCCATTAGTACTCATATTACCGGATTGTTTATCTCAAATTACCCCATCTGTTCATGACCAGTTCTTGAAGAAATATCCAAGAACATCATGTTTTGTACAGCATAAAAGGATATCCAAGCAGACTGTCATCAGACAAACTTTAGACTAAACAATCTTAGGGTCATGTTGACGATATGATTAAACATGATTTTCAACCTTAGCATCTGCATTACTAGAAATTTTCATATTATTATTGTTTTTATTTTTCCAAAAGGAAATCAAATGTTAAATCAGAGTTATCCTCAGTTTTATAAATACTGTTAGGTGACCTAACCATGTGATTCGCGTACAGGTACACCATGTTGGTACCGGGCTGGGCCCCTTTTGTCTTGAGAAATGCTTTAATTCATAATGACACACATTCAGCAACATGCTGGAAACGTTCCTCACAGATTCTGGTCCATATTGACATGACAGCATCACACAGTTGATGCAGATTTGTTGGCTACACATTAACAATGCAGGTCTCACATTCCACCACATCACAAAGGTGCTCTGTTGGACTGAGGTCAGATTCCTGTTTTCATCTGACAGGAATGGCCCCTGGTGTGGTCTTCTGCTGCAGTAGCCCATCTGCTTTAAGCTTCAATATGTTGTTCATTCAGAGATGCTCTTCTGCACACCTTGGTTATAATGAGTGGTTATCTGACTTCCTGTTGGCTTCCTTTCAGCTTAAAGCAGTCTGGTCAATCTCCTTTGACATCACCAAAAGCAAATGTTTTAAACAAGCTTTAGTAAATCAATGTCAAGATTAATTTTAAGATGATGAAGAAGACCATGTACACTTAAATTTCAGTACTGCGTACAGACATTAGATGAAATGAAGCCTACAGAAAAATATTCCAGGATATAAATTAAGATTTAAAAAACAAGAACAACTGTTTCATCAGGAAAGGAAAACTAATCTTTAAAACGCGCTTTAATCTGATCAGAAACTAAATAAAAGTAGCAGACAGGGGTTGTATTAATTCATGGTTTTATTTTATTTTTCAAATTTATTTAAGCAGTAAAAATACTCAGTACAGTGTTCAGTGTCTTAACAGTTAATAGTGTGAGCTACTTAAAGTGCACATGGGAATTAGCAGTAAACTTGACAGTAAGCTCTACAGAGAGAAATCAACTGGAGTTTTGCAATGAAATGCAACAAGTCTGGTATGCTGGCAGGATTACACATTTATCAAAGTTATTTCCAGAAGAAAGATGAAAGGCATGACCAAATATATACAAGATATCCTTTAAACTCACATGAAACAAATGTCTAAATTTATCGATCATCTAAAAACTACAAAGTCTTTCCAAACTGAATCTTTTAGCTGAGAGAGCTAAAGATTTCAAAGATTTCAAAGATTTTCTTTCCCTCAAATCATTAATTTTATTGGGTGATGAAATATTTGAAATCTAAAGTGTTCCTCCATACTTTACAGCAAAAGTATTCCAGTTGCATTAACGTAACCAATACATCTCTAAAGTGATATTTCTAATGTGGACGAGCTGTGAATAAACAGGTCTGATTAAGTGCAGCAAGAATACAGTGACGCCTGCAAAGCTACCTAAGCAGATTTCTTCATAGCGGTCAAGGACATGAGGATACTTGGCTTCTCTTCTATGACTCGCACAAGTAAATTATCAATGTACTGCTCCAGCTCCGATATCTTATGATCTCTCTCCGAGAGCTGGTTCTCCTGTTTCAAGATCAGAGAGATCAGTTCCTCCCGGGTCAGCTGGGAGTAGGGCCCTTTTATCCCACTGTCATCCACCTGTGGAGCGACAAAGCATGCTTTAAAGGTGCCAGGATATAAGAAACTTAAATTCCATCGGCCTATTTCTTGTTGAAAATCTTAAAAAGAGAGAGAGAGTTAGAAACAAATACCGTTGTTTTGTCCTGAAGTCCACTGGGGATTCCTGTGGATTTGTTTTCATTTTCCCCTTGAACAACTGAGGCACCCTGCTGCTCGAGAGGATTAAGAGGTCTTACCGGCTGAAGCCTGAAATGATGAAAACAAAGCATAAAAGACAGACGTAAGCACCTGTTAAATGGGAGTAAAGGAAACCGTATAACCAAGTACACTGCGCAGTAATCCATTCAACAATTAAACTGAACATAATACCCAATAATAAAACTCAGTTCACCCATATCAAGCTTACTATACTGTACAGAATACATTGAACATTTGTATAAGTCAAAGCTAATAAGATTGAATGTTGCAAATTACACAAATGAAACGTGCATACAAATAAAAATATAAATATAGTAACATTTGACCTATAAAAGTTATTCTTTAGCAACCAAACCATCTCACCTGCGTGAAGGTGTAGGGGCCCTGTCTTTCTTCACACCTGTCTCCACTATATTCTCGACTTTAAGGGACTGGGACTCTTGGAGTGGACTCACTGGGACATGCCCAGGACTTGTGGACTCATAATACGGGTCGCATGCTTGGAGTGCATCGTTATCGGGCGCAGCTGCACTTCGATCACCTGTAGCATGGCTTCTTTCCGTGCCCGTGTTCATTAAAGTGTTCGAGCTGATGTCACTCTTTGCAGGAGGTGGGGGAGCGTGTGCCGTCTTTGAGGATTTGATTTTTGGTTGAGAGGCAGCATCTTTATCTGCACTTTGTGACACAGCTGGAGGCCAGTGTATTGAACCAGTATTACTAGAGACTGCTGTGTCATCTTGAGCTGTGAGCTCACTTTCATCTTCATCATCCTCAAAAGGATTTAAGCCACAAACAACTTTAACTTGTTTGGTCTCTGCGCCGCCTAGATTAGAGCTCGTTTTTGGTTCTGATGACTGCTTTTCTCCCACAGGAGGAGGTACGGACGGCGCAGGACGTTTGCTGTGTTTGGCTTCGTTTGTTGTTCCATTAGCGTTATTGCTTTGCGTCAGGCTCTGGGAGTTCTTTGAATCTGTGGGAGACCTACACAGCGGAGCGATCATTTGCACCGAGCGCTGTGGGGGAACACTGACAGTTTTGACATCTTTGTCTTTGCTTTGCTTGTTAATTTGTGCCAGATGTCGTGCCGGCACATCCTGCTCCCTGTGAGGCTGCTTGCCAGCTTGATTCCTTACTGGCGGCTGAGGAGCTGGTCGCTTCTCTCGTTG